ACATAATTATGTATTTTTTTAAAGGTCCAGATTTTGAAGTTCCTGTTAAAACTTCACTGCTACTGATATCATTGTCAGCTTTGCTTGAGTAAAGAGTGAATAAGAGTGCAGGATTTGGCATGAAAACAGGAGGTTCATTATCAGTGGAATAGGAATTGAAACAATTTTAGACTCTCATTCTCCGTTTCTCCTGGCATTCTACTACTAATAAAATTTCACTCTGTCTAAGTCAAGTATATGTGACTTTTCCTACATAAACCTTCCCACAAGTGGGCAAGCCTTTTACAATATGTGCCCGCGCAGTCTAGAAAGTAATTCAAATTATTCACTGTTAGGCATACCCAAATAGTTTGGTTTGTTCTCATAACTTTTAGTCACTAACTTCTTTCTGGGTTTTGGGAACAACCCTAAACATTTGGAGGTGCTCCTATGCTCTATTCAAGAGTGGTTTAGCACTGATCATACTGAAAGAATTTCTCCTCTAAGGCTCAATAGAACTGTGTGTGGGAATTTGATTGCATTCTTAGCTCTACCTACATTTTGCTGATGAACCCCATCAATACTAAACACCTCCTATAGTTACTTTGAGCCAAATGTGTGTATGTGGAGCTGACGGGAGAGATGCGAGGCAATGGCACTCTGGCTCCTGAGTGAGCTGTGTTGCCAGGAGGGTGGGGCTGAGGAGATAAGAGAGGGGTAGAGCCCTGCACAGATACAAAATTTGTATCCACATCCGATCCACAAAAATGGTCCATGGATAGCCACAGATTTGCAGGGCTCTACAGAGTGGCTCTCTCAGAACATCCTACAGGAGCTGCAGAGCTGGAACCAGTTTTTCCACTTTCCTCAGGCTCTAAAGGTTTCAGGGAACATCCCTTGTCCTCCCTGGATGGCCATTAACTCTATCCCCAGAGGAGACTATCTCTTAGGTCTTCTGGCCACTTTTTAGTATCTGCCACTTTTCTGCAGATAGGGGAAAGGGGAGAAAATAGACCTTACTTTAAAAAAAACCTCTGCTCCATCTTAAAATGCAACGTGTTCTGCACATAGGAATTCCAGAAGCAAACTAGAAAAACGATACGTGAGTATCCAGAATACTTTTCCAGCTCACAGCTATTTCACAGCAATGTTGGTGTAACAACTCTGGTAGCAAGCTAAAATGTCTGGGGTATGTTTTTTTTATGCACTGACTTTTTTTTCTACATTTACTTTGCCACATTTATACATGTGTATACATGACTTATCATATATCGGATGTTTGTAAATAGTTCAAATTTATTCAGATTAATACTGTTTTCCTTCAGCAGACATTTGTCACAGGAATGCTATATAAATAAGAGATAACTATATTATAGGCAGGGCTGATATAGCACAATTTATTTGCCTGGCCGTTCCCATTATAAAATCCTGTTTTCAAATATAATTTTGCCAAACTTTAACTGTGTCTACCTCAAGCTACTTTTTGGGGGAGGCAGAGGGGGCTAAAAGGTGGAGAATTTCAGCCAGAACAATTCAAATATTTCTTAGACTGAGGCTAGGGAAAAATACATTGTTTTGCAACATTAAAAAAATTCTGGGAATTTTTTCTTTAAGAAGTTTTAGCGCTCCCATGCATTGGAGCACGGACTTGAAAGGTGGCAGGGGAGTGCCCTTTGTTTCAGGGATGTGCATTTTGTTATCCCTGTAAAAACCAGCCCACACTGTGATTGAAAAAATCACAGTTCACACATGCTCAGTCGAGACTTCTTATAGTTAAGTAAAAGTAAAAGTAAAATCACTGAAGACTCTTCCCTCGTTGATCATGCTCCAGCATCTCACAGCTCCTAAGCTAGTGCTGACATGACTGCATGCATCAGTCCTACAGAGCAGGTTCCCTCCATCCTAAGGCTACAGTGGCAAAGCCAGACTTCCCCTGCTTTTGGCTGCTTGGGGCCGGGGTGGGGCCAGACACTAGAACTGAGAACAGGGAAATTGTCTCTCCTGTGCTCTCAGTGACCACCCTGCTGGTGCTCAGCCACACTGGAGGAGGAAGCCACCTGATTTGAATTCAGAAGGCATAGGTGCCGACTCTGTGCGTTCTCCAATAGTGGGTGCTCAGCACCCATCGTCAGCTCCACGGATCAGTTCCTCCTCCTCCTCCCAGCCCTCCCACCTGCCAGTGGGCTCTGCCAGTCAACTCTTCCCCCTCCCTCCCAATGCCTCCCGCCTGCTGTGATCAGCTGTTCAGCAGCATGCAGGAGACACTGGGGGGGGGGCGGGGGGAGGAGTGGGGGCAGGAAGGGGAGGGGACAGGAAGAGGCAGAGTGGGGGCAGGAACAACAAATAGATGTGAAACCTACTGGCAAGATATCCCAGCCCTTTCTACTGCTGGGCCAATTCGAGAATTATAACTCCCAACTGCTACTGTTCACTCCTTTAGCTCAAGAGGCAGAGATCTGTGCAGTGGATCTAAAGATTCCAACCCTGCTAATGATCCATGTAGGTGTCAATATGATACCACATGACGGAATTTGTTTTTTCAGTTTACTTTTTTTTTAAAAAATGCCTTAAAACTACATTATTAAGATTGCAAAGTCAAGCACTCAAAAGATAGGAAATATCAGAAGTAAAGTTGTCTATGCAACCTTAACTTGGCCCCTTTGTGCATATGCATTATGATACATGATTACATGATCATTATTGACATGATCACATCTTTTTTCTACCCTATTCTGGGGCTCAATCATAGTAGTATATTGAAAGGTGTCTTGAGGACCCCACCTCATTTGTTTCAGAAGTTGGAAAGTCTGTAGTGAGTTAGTCAGTGGACTGCAGAAAGAGAAAGGATGATGTCATAGTCAAGTAGAAAAGGAGTACTTGTGGCACCTTAGAGACTAACAAATTTATTTGAGCATAAGCTTTCGTGAGCTACAGCTCACTTCATAATCAAGTAGGGTTGCCAATTTTGGTTGGACATATTCCTAGAAGTTTTCTCAGATGGCATAATCTTTAATTAAAGATTAATCTTTAATTCCTGGAGACTCCAGGACAATCCTGGAGGGTTGGCAACCCTATCAAGGCAGCTGCCTGCTACTCTAGAGCATTGGATGCTATCTCTGACTCTGTCACGCAGTTCCTATGGAATGCTAAGGAAGTCATTTAACCCAGACTTTTCACAGGTTGTCACTAATTGTGGGTGCCTCGTTTTCTTGGTGCCCAATACGAGTCTCTAGGGTCTGATTAGCAGGAGGGCTAAGGACTCACAGATGCCACTGAAGTCAATGGGAGATACACGTTGAACATACTGAGTGCTATATAAATGCTACGTACTCTGAAAAATCAGGGCTTAAGTGTCTCAAATTGGGCACCAAAAATTAGTGGATATTTTGGATATTAATCTCACTGTGCCTCAGTTCCCCAGCTGTAAAATGGATTAATAATATCCCCTCATCTCACAGCGGTGTTGTGCAAGTAAATCCATTAATGTTTGTGAAGTGCTCGGATACTGTAGTGATGACCACCATAGAAAACCCTATGAAGGAAATTAATAATTCTGTCTTTAGAGAAGGATTTGAAAAGTGTGCAGTAAATAAGGCCAGGGCCCACACACTGAACAATGAGGAGAAAATAAAGTATTTAATAGTTGTTCATTAAATGAGCACTGTCTCTCTCTTGTGCACCAAATGAGGCAGGGTCTTGTGAAAAAAATATGTGATCTCATCATTATAGACTGTGTCCTAATGCATACACACAGAAAGGTCCAATTAAGTTTTCCCAGGCAACTTAACTTCTGCCATTTCCTAACTTTTGAGTGTGTGACTTTGCAATCTTACTAATGTTCTTTTAATATAGTTTTTTCATGTGCAAGGTACATAAATAGTTAATAGATAATTGCCATTAGCTGGTGTTCAAGAATACATAGGATAGTTCCTGAGTTCTGTAGGATCAATAAAACTTGGTGTACACTGCAAATGGCTTCTTGTGTGTTACTTTTTACATGGAGCTCTAACCAGTAGTCTTTTAAAATATTTTGATGAATGCACGTTCCATTAATTATGTACTTTTACACAGGTTTCCTGTTTATTTGGTATCTATCATTAAGAAATCTATTAAGGCTGTGAGGGAATGGGTAAAGTATAGCATGTTCGAATAGTAATAGAACCAGAAATGTTTCACACACACACACCGCCCCCCGGTATCAAGATGAAATGAATAAACAATACTAATGCAAGTGTATATTCATTTTAAATGAACGCCATAATATGTTATGAGGAATAATCTCTTATGGTGATTACTTAACTGTACAATATTGCATTGCCCCCCCCATAATTACAGTACTGTTTATCACAATATTTCAACTATAATTAATTTTCAGAAGGTAGAAAATAGTATTCAGTCTATCCAGTTCAAGGGCCTTACCTCTGTGAGGTACTGGGCGTCCTCAACTGCCACTGAAGAAAGGCCCTCATTCAGCAAGGTACTTAAGCATATGCCTAACTTAAAGCATACTAGTAGTTCAACTGAAATCAATACTCATGTGCTTAAAGATAGGCACATACTTCAATATTTTGCTAAATCAGGGCCTTCAGCCCTGCTTCTCGCAGGTAGGTAGACTCCTAATTTCCGCTGAAATCAGTGGAAGTTAGGAACCTAAATACCTTTGTGGATCTGGGCCTTAGTGCTTGATCCAAAGCCCATTGCACTCAATGGGAGTATTTCGATTGATTTCAATGGGATTTGGATGAAACTTTAATGAAGATGAAGGGACTGATCATCTTGTAGGTGGTATACAGTACCCTGTATGGCTGTGCTCAAAAATGAGATTAAATCACAAGACAAGCCAGGCCCTAATTCTGCTTGCAGTTATTCCTGCGCAACCATGGGCAGAGTCAACCAAAGGGACTAGAATGAAAATCATTAGTTAATGCTATTCTAATATCAGTTAATGCTATTCTAGCATTAATTAAATTAATTAATTAATTAAAATAGTTAATGCTATTCTAATAACATTGTGATTACAGGTTATATCCAAGCCTGCAGAGGACTCATGATTGCTGCTGTCAGTCTTGGATTCTTTGGCTCCATATTTGCAATGGTTGGGATGAAGTGTACGAAAGTTGGAGGTTCAGATCAGACTAAAGCTAAAGTCGCTTGTTTAGCTGGGATGATTTTCATACTTTCTGGTAAATATGCAATTCTACCTTTAAATATATATTTGAAGTCACATAAGACCTCATCCTACAGCAGGGGCGGCAGGTTTGTATAATTTTTGGTGGTGCCCAGAACGGGTCCAAGTCCTGCCCCCACACACCTGCTTTGTAAGCTGATATATATTTTTTAAAATAATGTAAAAATGTGAGGGCTCTGGGGTGGGGTTGGGGGTGAGGCATTTGGGGTCAGGGAGGGGCTCGGGCAGAGGGTTGGGGTGTGGAGGTGAGGGCTGAGGCCGGGGATGAGGGGATCATGGTGCAGGAAGGGGCTCAGGGCTGAGGCAGAGGGTTGGGTTGCGGAGGGGTGAGGGCTTTGGCTGGGGGTGCGGGCTCTGGGGTGGGGTTGGGGATGAGGGGTTCATGGTGCAGGAGGTGGCTCAGGGCTGGGGCAGATGGTTGGGCTGTGGGGGGCGCGGACTCTGGGGTGGGGTGGGGCCAGGGATGAGGAGTTTGGGGTGCAGGCAGGCTACCCCAGGGAAGGGGCCAGAGAGGAGGACTCCCCCACAGCCCTCTCCCCCCACGGCAGCACACTCACCTCACACCATTGTCACTGCATGTGTCCCTAGGGCCCTCTCAGGTCCAGGAAGCCCCCTCACCTTCCCTGTGGTGGGTGCCGGGGGGTGGGGGGGGGGGCTGCCATCATGTGTGCACCTCCTTCCCTGCTGCTGCCCCTCACTGTAGCCTCACTGTGGGTGGGGGATGGGGCTGCCCTTGCCCAGTGTGGGGCAGGAGCAGTGACTGTGGGTGGGGGGACACGGACCTGTGCTGGTGAAGGGTCCCGCCGGAAAAGGGAAGGGTCTGTCCATCCAAGGCGGAAGGGCAGGGGCGGGGTCAGCCTGGGTCAGCCTGCCCTGGCACTAGTGGTTAGGGGGCACTAGGACCCTGCGGCGGCAGTTGATCCCGGGAGCTGGCAGAGTGCAGCACAGCACCAGCTGCAGGAGGCAGCTGCCCAGGGCTCAGCGGGGAGGCACGCAGGGGCGGGCGGTGGGGCCGGGGGAGAAACCCAGCCCCGACCATTGGTGGAACTGGGCCCCTGGGCCCTGAATATTACTTGAGCACGGGCACCACGGGCCCATATAACTCACCACCCCTGGGCACTACAGTCAGGCCCATAATTATTATACTGATGCCACTGAATTATTTATTCATCTGGTGCATTTTAGGGTTGTGCTCTATGACTGGTTGCTCCCTGTATGCGAACAGAATTACATCTGAATTCTTTGATCCTACTTTTATTGCACAAAAGTAAGTACTTTTTTATGCCTGGGAATTTTTCAAACAAATTAGGCCTTAGATTGTTTAAAACACATACCAAAGTATGTTTGTAAAGAAAGCAGATGTTCCCAGTCCCAGACACAAGAGAAAGGTTGGGTCTGTAACTTTCTTTCCTCTTATTACTCAAATCAAAAATATGAAATTGTACATAGCAACTTATTGGTGAATTTAATGAACTAACAAAAACAATTACTTATGTCAAGCCTTCCCATATCACTAGTAAAGCAACCATATTTCTCTGCCTAAAGGCATAACTATGTTCTACAGCAGGTGCAGAGGACTGATTCAATTTAGCTGAACTGATTCATATGTTTATATTTGTCACTAATTCAGAAGAAAAATTTTAGAAGATTTATCAGAAGACAGAGATGCCCATTGAGCAGATAATTCAATATTCATCAACAGATGGAACAGAAATGCTCTTTCATGAACATTTCATAGAAAGTATGATTTTCACAAAGGGATAAAACCTTACCATAAATTCTAAATCATCTTGCAAATATTTTCTAAAAGTATTCTCCAGGGCAAATTTTTTCAATCCTGAGTGCCTAAAATTTGGCTTATAAATCCTTATTTAGGCCATGATCCTATAATCACTAACTTATATATTTAATAGGGCTGTTGATTAATCACAATTAACTCATGCGATTAACTCAAAAAAATTAATTGTGATTAAAAAAAGTAATTGCAATTAATTGCAGTTTTAATCGCACTGTTAAAATAGAATTCCAATTGAAATGTATTAAATACTTTGGATGTTCTTCTACATTTTCATATATATTTTATTCTGTGTTGTAATTGAAATCAAAGTTTATTGTATTTTTGATTACAAATATTTGCACTGTGAAAATGATAAAAGAAATAGTATTTTTCAACTCACCTCATACAAGTGCAATCTCTTTGTCATGAAAGTGCAACTTACAAATGTAGATTTTTTTTTGTTACATAATTGCATTCAAAAACAAAACAATGTAAAACTTCAGAGACTACAAGTCCAGTCAGTCCTATTACTTATTCAGCCAATTGCTAAGACAAACAAGTTTGTTTACATTTACAGGAGATAATGCTGCCCTCTTCTTATTTATAATGTCACTAGAAAGTGAGAACAGACATTTGCATGGCACTTTTGTAGCTGGCATTGTAAGGTATTTACATGCTAGATATGCTAAACAATTGTATGCCCTATCATGCTTTGGCCAACATTCCAGAGGATATGCTTCCATGCTGGTGATGCTCGTTCAAAAATAATGTGTTAATTAAATTTGTGACTGAACTCCTTGGGGAGAACTGTACGTCTCCTGCTCTGTTTTACACGCATTCTGCCATATATTTCATGTTATAGCAGTCTCGGATGATGACCCAGCACATGTTGTTCATTTTAAGAACACTTTCACTGCAGATCTGACAAAACACAAAGAAGGTTTAAGGTCAATCCAACGTTTAAGAATCTGAAGTGCCTTCCAAAATCTCAGGGATGAGGCATGCTTTCAGAAGTCTTAAAAGAGCAACACTACAATGAGGAAATTACAGAACCCAAACCACCAAAAAAGAAAATCAATCTTCTGCTGGTGGTATCTGACTATGAAAATGAAAATGAACATGCCTCGGTCTGCACTGCTTTGATTGTTATCAAGCAGACTCCGTCATCAGCATGACCCCTGGAATGGTGGTTGAAGCATGAAAGGACATATGAATCTTTAGTGCATTTGGCACAAAAATATCTTGCAATGCTGGCTACAACAGTGCCATGAGAATGCCTGTTCTCACTTTCAGGTGACATTGTAAATAAGAAGCAGGCAGCATTATCTCCTGCAAATATAAACAAACTTGTTTGTCTGAGCAATTGGCTGAACAAGAAGTGGGACTGAGTGGACTTGCAGGTTCTAAATTTTTACATTGTTTTATTTTTGAATGCAGTTGTTTTTGTACATAATTCTATGTTTGTAAGATCAACTTTCATGATAAAGAGATTGAACTATAGTACTTGTATTAGATTAATTGAAAAATACTATTTCTGTTTTTTTACAGTGCAAATACTTGTAATAAAAATAAATATAAAGTGAGCACTGTACAGTTTGTATTCTGTGTTGTAATTGAAATCAATATATTTGAAAATGTAGAAAACATCCAAAAATATTTAAATAAATGGTATTCTATTATTGTTTAACAGTGGGATTAATTGCATGATTAATCACTATTAATTTTTTTAATAACACAATTGTGATTAATTTTTTTAATCGCTTGACAGCTGTAATATTTAATTTTAAATCAGTGGGACTCTTTGTGGTCTTAAAGTTACACAAGTGGGTTTTTGTAGGAGTAGGACATAAGGCACCTAAATATAAGTGACCTGATTATCATAAGTGATCTAAAAATTCCCATTTAAGACAATGGGCACTGCATGTGCTCAGCACCTTTGAAAATCAGTGATTTATAGTTAGATATCTAAGTATGTATTAAGCAGCCAAATTTTAGACACTCAGATTTGAAAATGTTGACCTTAAATTATGTCTTATAGATTTTTCATAATTTTCATTTTCCTTTGTAATGTAACTTTATACTTAAAAACAAGAATTTCAAAAACCCTCTGCAGTGTTTCCAGTTTAGTTCCATGAGCAGTCACTGATTTTTCAAGCAACTCACCAGAAATCTTCCTACTTCCCAGCCTAAATTCCATTTTGCAAAAGGAATGCTGAACATTCTCTGTCGTCTTGGTAAATACCTCTTCCTTATTTTAGCTAACTTACTTAAAATCTTTAATGAGATCTCTGTCAGTGCTAGGATTTCCACTCATTGTTCCTTTTTTCTTGATGAGTTAATATTGGTATTTTCAAATTTCTGCCACAAGCTCTGCCCGTCTCACTCATTGAGAGCCTCATTCAAAAACTGCTGAAATCAGTGGGAACCTATGCCACTGGCAGTGCGATGGAGTGCTGGCTGGATAGCCCTGTGATAATTACCCGTCAGGCTCACACATACTAAGGAGAAACATCCTCCTTATTGCCAGAATTCCCATAAAAGAATGTTGCAAAGGCAATCCTGGCAAGTCAACAGGAACTGCCTGTGTAGGTGTTTTCTTCTAGAGACAGGCAGATTTTCTTGTGGGAAGTAGGCACTGCATATTTGCACCTGTCAAAACCATTGTCACCCTTGTGTGCAGCAGGTTGTTTTCATCATTCATAGCTTTCCATGAAGTTTTAAGGGTGATGGCATCCTGTCAAAGTTTTGGATGAGCTATAAGAGCCAACACACATAAATTAGATGCTAATGTGTGGGTAAGACAGCCACTAATGACATGGAGACTGTATTCAGCTCCACATCAACGAGATGTGGGTGCCAACTCCTGCCCCCAAAGTGCTGTACAATATTTCAGTGGAGCAAATGCCAGCTCCAGTACTGAGGTTCATAGCACATTTGCCTCTCCTTCCCAGGAGGTTCCTGCTAGCTTCTGGATCAAGGCAGTGCAGGAAGCAATTTTTTTCTTTATATTTTCTAGATAAGGCCAGTATGTTAGGCTGTGGTCCAGTTTGACTTCTTAGTAAGTGACAACTGTCTGGCAAGGGAGTGGATGATCCTCAGCATAGGCTGTAAGGGGTTGATTACCAGGTGATTGTTCAGATGGAAAGTTGTGGCCATCATCTTAGACTTTCTTAGTATAAATCTCCACTGACAAAGGTAAGTAGCCATGTCCTGGCTGAGTGAGCCTTTGATATCATGTAGGTCATTACACACATGAGCAAGACCAATCTCATCTGTAAATACATACTTACTGGCCTTAGTTGTCGGTAGGTCATAATGATATATGTTAAAAAGGGGAGGAGCTAGAATGGATCCTTGCAGGAATCCATTACAAAGACACCTGGGCTAGCTGACTTTGTCTCCAGTTTGCAAGATGAAGTTATGATTCATGATGACTTTCATGATGAACCAAACCAGGGGCCTCCAAGGAATAGTCTGCAGCAATGTGGCGGTCAGCCACATGCCAGACAGTGTCATATGCAGCTGATAAGTACACCAGAACAGCACCAACCTTCTTGCTCTTCTCAAAGCTATCATCAATGTCTTGTGTTAGGCAAATGACTTGATCTTGGGCCAACCTGAACAAAGGGCAGTTGTGGTTTGATAATTTTGCTGATGCACATCAGACTCAATCTATCCATAAACTTATATGTAACACAAAGGAGAGAGCTGGGTTGACAGCCCTTAGGATCTTCCAGCAGTTTTTCTGGTTTCACAATGGCTACAACCTTTGCCTGCACCAGATTTTTGGGATTCAGTTGTCCTGAAAACATCGATCTGAGTAACTGAAGCAGACAGCTTTTCTCTTTTGGGCCTAAGTGAATGTTATCCAGGTCTGGCTCCTGTTCATAGAATATCAGGGTTGGAAGGGACCTCAGGAGGTCATCTAGTCCATCCCCCTGCTCAAAGCAGGACCAATCCCCAACTAAATCATCCGAGCCAGGGCTTTGTCAAGCCTGACCTTAAAAACTTCTAAGGAAGGAGATTCCACCACCTCCCTAGGTAACGCATTCCAGTGTTTCACCACCCTCCTAGTGAAAAAGTTTTTCCTAATATCCAACCTAAACCTCCCCCACAGCATCTTGAGACCATTACTCCTTGTTCTGTCATCAGCTACCACTGAGAACAGTCTAGATCCATCCTCTTTGGAACCCCCTTTCAGGTAGTTGAAAGCAGCTATCAAATCCCCCCTCATTCTTCTCTTCCGCAGACTAAACAATCCCAGTTCCCTCAGCCTCTCCTCATAAGGCATGTGTTCCAGTCCCCTAATCATTTTTGTTGCCCTCCGCTGGACTCTTTCCAATTTTTCCACATCCTTCTTGTAGTGTGAGGCCCAAAATTGGACACAGTACTCCAGATGAGGCCTCACCAATGTCGAATAGAGAGGAACGATCACGTCCCTCGATCTGCTGGCAATGCCCCTACATATACATCCCAAAATGCCATTGGCC